AAGTCATTAACTTCGTTATGTATGGACACAGCCCCGGGGGGCAGTCACGCACCAAGGGACCCTGAAACGGTGCAGGCTGCATGTTCCTGAGTTTGTGCTTCCGAGAGCGCACGTGGCTGCCCTGCACTCAGAGGAAAGCAGACTGTCACAGACAGGGACCAGTCAGCGCTGTGAGAGGCAGCGTGAGTCACAGCTTCATGTCCTGCGCCACGCGCTCGCCGTAACACTTACTGGTCTACCCAGGGGAAGCGACGGACACCATTTTCTGAATATGTCGAGGATGAAGAAGTGCAGAGACGCACGCTGCTGACATGGGCAGCGGGGCCTTTCCCCTCTTGTTCAGCTCAGGTTTCCTGAGCCTTCCTAGCCACAACTTCTCGTGGAAGAAAACCCTAGGGAACTAAGCCTTGCCACGGCCTCCTCTACTTGTTATTACTAAATAAGGTGAACAGTTCTTAATGGAGGCTGGTTGTCTGGCGACCCTCGTGTCTACTAACCAGAATGGCGACCCCGTAGGACCACCCCTGGCCTAGGATTGGGCCAACAGGGAACCCCGTGTGAAGGGACAAAATGTTTCAAAAGACCATCGGGCTGCATCTTATGCAACAGTCCCACGTCGTTTGTCCCTGACTCACCCCCCCAGTGCTGCAAGTCTGTTTCTAGGCACTTCCGCCCAGGACCCTCTGACTCTGAATCCTGCTCTGACTCAGAATATCTTCCAATCTTAACCGCACATCCTTCACAACGTCAACACTATGAAAGTTGGCAGTTTTCAAAACATATGTAAAAATAACCCACCCCGTCTTCACCCACAGCCCAAGAAATGCTGTCCAAACTACTGGGCGGCACCACTTCTTACGGAGGGGGACTGGCAAAATCATCAGAAGCCCGATCACATATTGGGAGCAAATACGGGGAAATGTGGCAATATCTAACAAAATCCAATAGAACCACACTTGTGTTTCTCTTTGACGCCCAGGCCCACTGCTAGGTATGCGCTCTGAAGATTGATTGCTGAGCCTGTGACTGTACATACACATGGTCATTTAAGACAGCAGTGTAAGGTTTGCAGTCAGATGACAGCGCTTGAAAAAACCACGGTAACCCTAACAAGATGGAGAGTGAAGCAGCCACGAGACAGGAAGTGGTGGGGGGCGGCACCATGGTATTGTAAGTAGGCTAAGCCTCTACCTGCCGTGCCCATGCAAGAGTTTGTGTCCCAGCTGCTCCACTTCCCATCCCGCTCCCTTCTTATGGCCTGGGAAAGCAGCAGAGGATGATTGAAAGCCTTGGGCTCCCGCACCCACGTGGCACACCTACAAGAAGCTCCTGGCTCCTGGCTTTGATTGGATCAGCTCCAGCCATTGCAGCCATTTGGGGAGTGAACCGGTGGATGAAAGATTCTCTCTCTGTCTCCTTCTCTCTATAACTTTAAATGCAAAGAGGGCAGGCGTCAGTAGACTCTGATGGACGCCTGTGTGCTCTGCTCGAGCCTCAGTCCTGGCTCTGGCTCCTCTCCAGATCCCTCACACAGACCCTGGGAGGGCGTGACGCCGGCTGCAGGCACTGAGTGCCGGCTGCCTTCACGGCAGGTCTGGATTGCGTGTCCGGCTTTGGCCCAGGAGTGGCTGGTGTGAGCGCTTAGAGAGCAGCCAAAAGTTGGTAGTTTTCTCTCTCATCTTTCTCTCTTTCTGCCCTCAACAAATTAATGAATTAAAATGAACAAAATGGAGAGAAGATCTCTGTGAGAGGATTTCCAGGATTATGAGGGTACTTCAAAATGTTTGTGGGAAAGTGGAATTAAATTTCATTTTGGTGTGAGACATTTTTGGAAACCCATGTATAAAATAGTCTTCCAAAAATTCACAAGAAATATATATTACAGAAAAGCTAAATTTAAAAAAATTTTAAACCAAAATAAAGAGCTTACACGAGAAATGTTACTCCAATAACAATGAACATCCCTAGTGCCCAAAACTCGATTGCTAAATATCATTCCTGATGAAATGAATCAGAATTCCTTCGAGAGAAATGATTGCTTTCATGAATGAGACAGAAAAAGTATAAGAGCCTGGAACAATCTTTTTTTTTTTTTTAAGATTTATTTCTATTAGAAAGGCAGATTTATAGAGAGAAGGAGATACAGAGAGAGACAGATCTTTCATCCGATGATTCACTCCCAAGTAGCCACAACGGTTGGAGGTGAGCCAATCCGAAGCCAGGAGCCTCTTCCGGGTCTCCCACACGGTCCCAAGGCTTTGGTGGTCCTTGACTGCTTTTCCAGGCCACAGACAGGGAGCTGGATGGGAAGTGGAGCAGCGGGGACACGAGCCAGCGACCATATGTGATTCCAGTGCGTGCAGGGCAAGGATTTAGCCATTGAGCCATCATGCCAGGCTCATGGAACAATCTTTTAACCAGAGATAAAGAGGGGGCACAGGAGCCAGTTTAAAGGAACTCCTTCCAGTGAAATATTATAAGCCATCGAGTAAAATGAGAATCTAAGAGATCTTGGAGATTTAAACAGACAAATAATGATAGAGGCAAAAAGGAAAAGCTGCTTATTACACAATATCAACTAATACAAGGGATGATGAATTTAGAAAAATCCCTTCTCCCAGTAAAGATCACCAACAGAGGCTGAAAATATCTGCTAAGTCACATAAACAACAGGCTTTTATATAACATTAGAGGGCATTTTCCCAAAATACTTATTAATGACAAATTGTAAATTGATAATAGGGAAGGCGGCCTTGATCCACCTTAATCCACACGACCAAAGTCGTGCTGCGTTACGACCTTGCGCAACTCAGAGGAGGCACATTTCCCAGCCTTGTGTTCTGTGATGACTATTATTAGCCTGAAATTGCGCAAACTGGCAAATGTTGCCAGTCCTGGACCCAGAGCCTGGGTCAGGCCCTCTCACCAGGCGATCTGATTGGACCTCCTCAGGGCACACACGATAAGGACATGCCTCCTGTAGTCTTCGGCCCTGCTTGTTCTCAAGCTAACGAGAAAGCATCAGGGAACAACTACCCTGCAAAACATCCTGTAAACTGGCCTGCGGAGGGGAACGCCAGGGTCAGAACTGCACAGCAAAGGGCCGCGCCTCACGGTCACGGGGACTACCAAGAGCCCCACATGCTCAGTACATGCCAGGCGCCAGGGCTTTGCCTGCTTGCCTTTGTGCTTTTTAAAAAAAGATTTATTTATTTATTTATTTATTTATTTATTTATTTATTTATTTATTTATTTATTTATTGGGAAGGCAGATATACAGAGAGGAAGATCTTCTGTCCAATGATTCACACCCCAAGTGGCTACAACAGCCAGAGCCGATCCTATCCGAAGCCAGGAGCCAGGAGCTTCTTCCGGGTCTCCCATGTAGGTGCAGGGTCTCAAGGTTTTGGGCCATCCCCGACTGCTTTCCTAGGCCACAAGCAGGGAGATGGATGGGAAGCAGGGCTGTCAGGATTAGAACCGGCACCCATATGTGATCCTGGCGCACCCAAGGTGAGGACTTTAGTTGCTAGGCTACCACGCCAGGCCCTGTGCTTTTGTTTTAAGGCATGTGGTTATTTGTATTGTTTGGGAAAATTCTGTGAATCTGAAAGTATTTAAAAATTGGAAAAAAAAAAATCACAAATTGTGCCAGGCCCTCTGGCCTTGGTCCTAAGGTCTCTGTGCCTACAGTTGGAGGGAGTAAGGTGCAGGCACTTCCCCGAGGTGACAAAGGCTCCAAGGCTGCAAGGTCAGAAGGAAGCCAAGACAGGACCCACCATCCACACACCTCAGCTCTCCCAGGCCGACTCCAGCAGCTCGGCGCCTTCCCATCCTGACCCTGACTTCAGACTGGCAAAGAGTGCGGTGACACTGTATTGTTCCCCCTGGAACGTGCACGAGGCCAGAAGGACTCCACCACCGCGTGGCCCCGGGGTGGCTCCCTGTGCCTCAGCCCTGAATCCCAACTGCAGCGTCCTTTCCTAATGGACCAGAACCTTGGCCTCACAAGGCCATCTCACGCTCCCGATCCCGCCAAATCCAGGTGGTCAGCGTGTCCACTCTCTCCTCTTGCTTTCTAGGGTCAGAAATGAGTACCAAGACTCAAAGCCAGAGAGAAACAGGACCTTCCTGCGCAGGCAGATGCAAGTTTGTGGCCCAGGTGCCATCATGAGCAAGTTTCAGGCAGGGACCAATAGCGGCTGGCCACTCCCTCCAGGGGATGTGTCTGTCGGCTTTCCTATCACCAATGAGTCGGAAATTGCACAGAAGTATGCCCTGGCCTTGCAGCGTCGGTGTGGATGAGAGCCTCAGCAGGCAGAGGGCAGCTGGAGGAGTACGCTGAAGGCATTGTGCTGCTGCCACACACGTGTTTTCCGCTGGAACCTCATTTCACAGGAAGCCGTTCAGTACTTGAAGGCATTTGGGTTTGGGTGTGCAAACAGTGAGTCACGGTAACCGTGTGAGGAACTGATCTATCTGTTGGGATTTTGGCTGCTCTTGCAAGCTTCTTCATCCTGGATAGGCCGGGAAGCCTAGCAGCACTGTGCAGGACAGCACCTGGCAGGGAGGGGATGCGTAGTATATAAGCCATGCACAGTTGTGCTGAATCGGCACTATCATCCACACACTGGGAGGCATTTTTGCCCGCTATAATTCTGTAAAATGATACCTTGTGAAAGAAATTGCGTGTTTTGTTTGTGAAGGAGGTCCTGAGGGTCCCAGTGGTCTCAGAGCTGAGCAGTGAAAGTATGATGATATTCATTAAATTATAGCCTCTGGTGATCACTTCCTCCGTTTCTACGTTCTCCTCTGCCCTCCCTGAAAAGGGAAGGCGTGAAGCAAAGGACAGACGAGTGCTCATTCCAGCTCCGCTTACAGGCCCATCACGCAAGTGAAGACGGAAGACCACATCACAGCAGCACGCCGGGGGAGTGGGAACGGATCCTTCTTATTCATTGCAATGATATTGCTTTCCTATTGTCACTAGAAGGAGAAAAATGTCTTCAGGTAACCAGTGGCCAGCAGACGAGGACAAAGGCCAGCTGTCCCGGCTGACGAGGAAATGCAGAGACTCCCCTTTCGTCCCCGTGGGTAAGTACATGTCATGCCTGGGAAACTAGCATCACAACCATGCCTTACTCAGGACCTGCCGGGACCACAGTGTTTCAAGTGACTGAATTTTTCAGGTAGTTGCAGCTAACCTCTGCTACGCCTGAGCTGAGCTTTCAGAAGTTTCTATCACATGGTACTCGCTGATAAATATTAGCCCTTCTTTTGTGAAGCATCAACTGTTATTCTGTTTTATCCTTTTCACTGCAGGTGTATCTAAAAAGCATTAGTTCCAGCCCATCAGCTGGCTGTGCTAAGGCAGGGTATCAGCGGCCGCCTGTGGCTTACGCTGACGGAGGAGTCACTTTGCTCTAAGTACCTCCAACCTTTCGCCTCCCGTGTCTGCTGCTTTGAGATGTTTCTTGCTTCCGTTATGATTCACATTTTCTAGTCTCTATACACGGTCTCTGATTCTGTATGTCCTAAAACTTCTTCCTGGCCTTTTAAGACGATTTTGGTTCCAATGTCCTGTGGCGTCAGAAGCCAAGTGCCCAAGCTCCATCCGGAGTGGAGTTCTGAGCAAAAGCCTGGCCTACAGACACGTGAGAGCTTGCACTTGGTGGCATTCTTTTGCCGTCCTCCTGATGTGTTCCAGCTGTTGAAGTAATTGGTAAAGTGATCCTGGATGAGAGAAGTGTTAGATCTGGACTCTCGGCCTCCATGCCCACTCCCCACCCGGGCTGGGTGTGCGTGGGCTGGAAGATCTAAGCACAGACACCACCTGAGATCTCAACTAGCTCTCGGGTCTGTGCAGGGAGGAGTAAGCTTCGCCGCAGCCACGTCTCTCCCGGGTCGTCATTCTGTACATTGTTAAGACAACTGGCTTATGTCAAACTTATGCGAATTTGTGAATCTATTAATTCCCCAAACCCTCCAAATAGGCATGTCACCCATCATGTCACCTTACCTTATAATAAAATACGCTGCTTAGAAGTTTCACTTAATCAGATTGAGGATTTATAATACCAATCATAGGGAAGGGAAGCAAGTGCTTCAATAGGGCTTTATTTTAACTAGAAAAACAAAGATTAAAAATCCGATGCTACCTGAACAGGTCACTGTAACAAGCAGGTTTCTCAGTGTGCCTGTTGGACATCAAATTGTTTACAGAGAGACAATTAGGGACATTAAGGTAGAAAGATAAAAGTCTTTCCGTTCAATTCAATTACATACAAAGACATTGCATGGAAAACAGAAGATTTTCTGACTTTAATCTCTAAAGGAAATAAAACGAATTTGAGTAAGAGTAGAGCCATGATTTTATCCAGACAAGAGAGCTCAGTTTTTGATGGAGAATAAATGCAATTAAAACGTGGACCTGTATCACGCGATGGCTTCTGCAGCGCTCATCCCTCTAACAGCGTCCACGCGTTGCCCCCGCACATGGACTGCCCTGGAAGGTTAGTCTCTCACCACATTTCATCTTTAGCACCTTCCATCGTTATAATCTATTCACATTGCTAAAAACTTTTTTGAGATTTATTTATTTTTATTGGAAAAGCAGATATGCAGAGAGGAAGAGAGACAGAGAGGAAGATCTTCCATCCTCTGATTCATTCCTTAAGTGGCCTCAAAGGCCAGAGCTGAGCCGATCTGAAACCAGGAGCCAGAAGTCTCTTCCAGGTCTCCCACACAGGTGCAGGGTCCCAAGGCTTTAGGCCATCCTGGACTGCTTTCTCAGGCCATAGCAGGGAGTTGGAAGGGAAGTGGAGCAGTCAGGATACAAACCAGTGACCATTTGGGATCCTGGCACACAAGACAGGGACTTTAGCCACTAGGCTACTGCGCCAGGCCCTCGTTGTTTAAAACTTTTAACCTTACTGTTAACTCCGTGCATTCATTGTATAGATTCAGCATCTATGTTGATAGGCTATTTGGTTTTATTTCATTGAAAACTTAATATGTGCATTCCTATTTCTCCTATTATTTTCTTTTACAGCCTTGGCAGTTTTATTCTATTGGGCTGTTCGGAGTTTTTTCCTTTTTTTTTTTTTTTTTTTTTTTTTGCTGTCTGTTTTTAGTTTTTCCTCATTTCTAGTGTATCCATGACTCTTGACTGTCCTCTTGTTTATTTCCTTGGAATATATTCCCCGAAGCAGAGTTTGCAGAGCAGGACATAGATTCACTGTAACATCATTCACCACATAGTTCCGGCAGTCTTCCAGAAAGGTCTGGAAAAACAGGCTTCAGGATTCTTTGCCCATCACGATCAGCATTATGTTTTGAAGAACAAGGATCTGTCACTTTGCTAGATCTCCCTTATTTGATGGCAGGAAGAGTAATACCTGGTGCTGACAAACTGCAGGTGCTGAGCTGTCCAACAGGGTCACCTGCCGCAGGCAGCGGCCTGGAGGCACGCACGACCAGGACGCCTCAGGAAAAAGTACAGATGATGAGAACATTTTCTGTACTAGATGGTTCCGACTCCAATTTCCTGGGAAAAGTTAAAACTGTAAATATGGACTCTAACTAACTACATTACGGGTTCATCTGAAAGCCTGGCAGGTCAAAGCTTGCTTGGTTCTTTGTAAAGCTTTCTTTGGTTCAGGCCAAGGATGACTAGTCCAAAAATTCAAGCACCAAAATGATCCCAAATCCAAAATGTTCTGAGTGCCACCCTGGGACATTGTATCGTGTGTAGGCACACAAACTACTGCCCAAAATTATCTGCAGGCTGCATGCAAATGGTGTGCTTGAAACACGAGTGGATTTTGTTTACTGGACTTGGGTTCCCTACACAAGATATCTCACTATTTCTAGCCACCGAAAACAAAGCTCTAAAAACACTTCTGCCCTCTCGTCGCTAGCATTTTGAACAAAGGATGCTCAGCCTTAAATCTCTAAGTCCTTGGGAATTCTTGCCTGCAGTGTATTTAACTCACACTTTGAAACCCACAGGCCTGGCGGGCTTCACGACCGTGGTGTCCTACGGTCTGTACAAGCTAAGGCACAGAAGCGACCAGAAGATGTCTCTTCATCTGATTCACATGAGAGTGGCTGCCCAGGGATTTGTTGTTGGAGCTGTGACTATAGGTAACCCGCCTTCCCAGCACCTTTCTCTTACCTTTTCAAAACTCATTTTATCATCATTACTTTATGATGTTCACTCACAGAAGACACGGGGTCAAGGTGGTACAATGTGGAAGGGGTAAGAAAGAGGAAACTTCATTTGGTTGAGAATACTGTCCTGTTATAAGCTTAAATTCTTGGACTTTTCAGCTGACAGAACCACCAGTAGAGCTCATGGATTATTTTTTTTTTCTTCATGGATTGTTAATATTCATAGTGAAATGAGCATGGAAAGCTCCCAGCTCCATTTATAAGTCAGCTACGAATGGCAATCCTATTTCCCATTCTATTTGAACATCAGTTACTGTAGTTATTATTATTTTAAAGATCTATTTTATTTACTTGAAAGGCAGAGTCTCAGAGGGAGAGATGGAGAGAGAGATCTTCCATCCACTGGCTTACTCCCCAAAAAGCCAAAATAGCTGGGACCGGACCAGGCAGAAACCAGGAGCCAGGAGCTTCTTCTGGGTCTCCCAGTGAGTGCAGGGGCCCATATGTTGGGCCATCCTCTACTGCTTTTCCAGATACACCAGCAGGAAGTTGGACCAGAAGCAGCCAGGACACACACTGGTGCCCTTTTGGGATGCCAGCACCAGAGGCAGGGGCTTAACTGGTTCCACCACAGCACCCACCCCCAGACACAGCTATTTAACAAAGAAGACATTTTAAAAGATTCACTTATTTGTTTCAAAACAGAAGGGCTGAGTTGGAGAGAAATCAGCATCTACTGGTTCACTTCCGCAATAGCTACAACAGTCGTGGCTAGGCCAGGCTGAAGCCATCAGCTAGGAAATCATGTTTATCCTGGACGAGGCCAAGGACTCCGTAAGTCATCACTGCTTCCCAGGTGCTTCAGTAGGAAGCTGCTTCCTAAACGCAGCAGCTAGGACTTGAACTCACATTCTGACATGGAATGCAGCCTCGTTTTTTTTCCCAATTAATCCACAAATTAAAACAGACTTACACAGTCAAATCCAAAGGACGTGCATAGCATTATCTTGGCCAATTAAAGTTATAACAAAGGTAAATGTCAGATACCAAATTAGATAGCTCTAGCAAGCAGTGTATTAGGGGACCTCATTTTCTAGTTTTATTTATTTATTTTTCAATTGGAAAGACAATCTTACAGAGAGGAAAGAGAGAGAGAAATGATCTTCCATCTGCTGGTTCACTCCTCAAATGCTGATAACAGCCAGAGCTGAGCCAGGAGTCAGGAGCATCCTTCAGGTTTCTCATGCAGGTGCAGGGTCCCAAGGCTTTGGGCCGTCCTCGACTGCTTTCCCAGGCCACAGCAGGGAGTTGGATGGGAAGTGGAGCTGCCGGGATTAGAACCAGCGCCCATATGGGATGCTGGCACTTGCAAGGTGAGGATTTAGCCATTGAGCCATTGTGCTGGGCCCTCTTTAGCCAAATGTCATCAGCTCCCTTCATTCTGTGCAGAGTGGCATCAGCCTGCGAGTAGGTGATGGGTATTGGATGGTGGACACACGCTGCCCCAAGACTCAGTTTAGGGAGGTCAGGGAGCTCGGCAGTCACTGTCACTCCCGGCTTACAGCACATACTCACTATAGAATGCCTGAAAGATGCCAGGGTAGCTTCACAAGTGGATTACTTGTATCCTCGGGGAAACAGGTAGACACAGGGCATCTAAACTCCTTCTAATGTGCCAATCCCCGATCCTTTTGATATTTACTTTGCTGGCAATTTCTGAACCTTAGAACTATAACATGCTGAGGTGGGCAAGTACTAGGGTGTGCCCTGTGCACTGCAGGATGTTAAGTAGCATCCTTGGCTTTCAAAGACAAAAAAGGGCTACAGAGAGGGATTCAAGGAGAAATCTTCCATTGCCCTGCCTCTGGCTGTGACATTCCAGAAGGTCTCCAGACAACACTGGATCAATCAAGAAAGTTTGGGCCTTCAGCTTTGTCTGGTGGGATTACCCTTTGGTTCAAGTTGCAGTCATTCTCATGGGGAGGAAAGGACTGCCTCCCCTGGCAGAAAAAAAAAATTTTGGTAAAATAAAGAAGCCAAGATTTTACATCATTAAAACCCTTCCATATGTTCCCACTTCAATTTTTAGGGTCCTAACGTTCCAAGTCAATGTTCTAACTTCAAAATGTTTCATTGGATATATATATGAAATTTTTGAGGTGAGGAATCCGATACTATGCATGGTCTTCAAAAGTCTCAGTTTTCTGATGATCTGAGTTAAGGATATTAGTATTTCAGATTCCCTTTGAGATCTTCAGCTAAGAGTTAAATGCCTCGAACTCCTCATTCCTCTCCCTCCCCCCAAAGTTCTCTAGAAGTTTAGAGTTAGAACAACTTAATTATATCCTTCCTTATCACTGCTAAATGTTCTATGGCAGTAAAAACTTGACCACCTAAAATTTTGCTTTCTGTCAACACTTGATGGAAGGTATTAACTCACAATAAATTAATAACATGCTTTGCAGTGGTAAATAAAGCATGTGGAGGACTGCTGGCATCCTCTTCATCACTGAAAAGAAATGCCATTCGTGCCTTTGAATCAGATCAGACAGCCAACTGCAGATAAGCCAGGATCCGCTTAGAAAAGCTGTGCCCACGGATCTATTCTTCTGGAAATACCTTTAAAACCAAATTCTATATTGACAGAAAAGGGAAACTATCAGTAGTGATTTAAAAAAAAAGGTGGAGGGGGGTGGCTTATGACAGAGAGGGGGCTTTAAACAATTTGGGAGCTGGCTAGCGGTCCACGAGGTGCTAATTTCGGCAAGTCAGCGGGTAGGAAGGACAGATACACTGGAATCTGAAAGTATGAGCCGGAGCTCAGACAGATGGAAAACTGTGCCAGAAGAACCCGGTATCCCACATTGTAAAGCCAAGCCAGAGCTGGACCAGGAGCCAGTGAAGCGACAGATCCAGAAGGAGCTCACGGAGCTGTGGGCCGGGCTGCTAACCCACCACGGCGAGCTAAGCCACCACGTACAGTGCAGCGCAGAAAAGCGACGGGTTCCTGTACCAAGCTCAACCTTCCAAGAGCAAACAATGTTATGACCACTGCCCCTTTGTCTCTTGACCTGAGAACGCCTAGCTCCCAGAATCTGCCACATGCATAACTCAATTTCCTAGAGATTTATTTAATTATTTGAAAGACACAGAGAGATAGAGAGTGCTTTTGTCCACACTCTCCCCAAATGGCTGCAGTGGCTGGGGTCTGGTCCAGGTCAAAGCCAGGAGCACCAAACTCCAACTAGGTCTCCCACTTGGGTGGTGAGAGACAAGTACTTGGGCCATCTCTCACAACTTTCTCATGCACGTTAGCAGGGAGCCAGCCTGGAAGCAGAGCAGCTTCCAGACTCAGCTGGTGTTCATGTGGCATGTCAGCTACACAGGGAATGGCTTAGCCTATGGCACCCCACCACTTAAAACTTCATGGTAAGGGCCCAGCGGCATGGCCTAGCAGCTAAAGTCCTCGCCTTGAACGCGCCGGGATCCCATATGGGCACCGGTTCTAACCACTTCCCATCCAGCTCCCTGCTTGTGGCCTGGGAAAGCAGTCGAGGACGGCCCAAAGCCTTGGGACCCTGCACCCATGTGGGATACCTGGAAGAAGCTCCTGGATCCTGGCTTTGGATCGGCATAGTATCGGCCGTTGCACTCACTTGGGAAGTGAATCATCGGACGAAAGATCTTCCTCTCTGTCTCTCCTCCTCTCCGTATATCTGATTTTCCAATAAATAAATAAAACTTAAAAAAAATTCATAGTAAAAACATTATAGAAAATGACTCTTCTGAGCTGAGCTAACCCAGAACTAAGCAAGAAAGGCAATTAGAACCCTGGCTATGGCTTGGCTTGGATGACGCCAAGCAAATCCTCAAGAGATTTACAATGATTGTAAGCTGAGAGGTGACAAGATGAGGTGAGCCAGTGAAAGGTTTAAACAGAGGAGTGGCAGCTGGAAGGACACCGACATTACAGAAATGTGGGACTCTGGTAATATAAGACTGCTTATGCTAAAAACACATGTGATCAAGGGACAAAACTATGCTGTAACCAGTGGCTACCTATGAAAGAGGCTGGTCAGGAAAGGAGAGCTTGCAGCTCCCTGGATGCCTGCCCCATTCTACTTTCTGACCTTCACTGCAGGTGCTCAGGCTACAGCTGTTCGCTTTCACAGCCTGTGCTCTGCGCCTACGGTATTTTAAAAAGAGAAACTGGTAAAGGAAAAAGAATAAGGCAGAGCTGGTTTGTAAAAGAGAGAATTCAGACGAACCAAGCAGACCATGGATTCCTTCTGAATGAAGGCAGAGTCAGTGGAGCTAGAGAAGAGGTGGAGCCCAGAAATACCGGGGCGTCAGGCCGTCGGAGAGCTGCAGAAGGAAGGGAAGGGGGTCACGGACCACTCCCAGGGTCCCAGTGTGTGCGACCTGCTGAAAAGACTGGCTTTTCACCAACACAGAGAACGAAGGCACGAACAGCAGGCTTGCGGGGAAGTCTGGTGTTCACGCCACTCAACAGTAACAGCTAAGATCTCCTCAGTGCAGTGTGACGATCTGCAGGCCACTCCACCTGTTGTATGTGTCGCCATCTCACTGAGTACCGACTATGACATCACCTGGCGTACTGCAGCAGAATTCAACACCACCACTGACCAGCTCACTGCCTCGTATTCCCTAGGTTTAATAGGACTGTCCACCCCAACACTGTCCCTACTTCAGATGTGAGCTGAGATTCCATCAGCACAAAATCAGGTATGCTCCAACAAGAGGCTTGTGAATAACGCAGACGCTGCTAATACTCAGGAAATCCCACCCACCTGAACAGCAACGTAGCAGAACTAAAATCCTTGTTACACAAGAACCTAACAAATCCGCTTGAAGTTATCCCGGCTCACGTGAAAGGAAGCCAAAGCTTGGGAAAGAGAAGTTGTCTTCATGATTCTGTGGGCACCCCACTCCAGAGCCAGAGCTCTTCATTTTGTATTATACAGCCTGAGCTCTCTAGTGCAGATGTCTCCAAACTATCATTGTTGTAGATACTGTACTAAGAGAGCCTCAGGATGTGAAAAGAAACCCTCTGTTAAAAAAGTATCATAATACAAAGACTGACCAGAGGGTATTTTTATCATTTGTATACAAATAAATATTTTGAGGCGAATGTGTAACCTTTTATACGATTTTTAAAGCCTGGAGACCATCGACCTGTGGGATCTAAAAACACCACATGTACAGTAACGGATATAAAGGATTTCACACTCTGAAGAGAGATACATTTTTTTTTATATTTTTTCAAGATTTCTTTTATTGGAGAGTCAAATCTACAGAAAGAAGTAGAGTCAGAAAAAAAGATCTTCCGTCTGCTGGTTCACTCCCCAAGAGGCCGCAATGGCCGGAGCTGAGACAATCTAAAGCCAGGAGCCAGGAGCTTCTTCCCAGTCTCCCACATGGGTGCAAAGTCCCAAGGCTTTGGGCCGTCCTCGACTGCACTCCCAGACCACAAACAGGGAGCTGGATGGGAAGTGGAGCAGCCGGGACATGAGCCAGTGCCCGTATGAGATCCAGGCAGTTGCAAGGCAAGGATTTAGTCAATAGACTACCATACCGGAACCAAGAGATACAATTTTATTGCTGACCAGTGAACAATTGGTGAGAACAGGATGCAGAGGAGGTGGGGTCACGTCAGAGATCACTGGGTTCAGGAGACAGTAAAAGGTCTGACTTGCCGGTGTCCTAGAGCTTTCCCTCAAGCTCACTGTTATTCCCATCAGTACCACAATTCTGAAAAAACAACCCAGCTGGAATTTTAGGCACCATGTCATCCTGCAGACTCTGCCTCCATTTGCTGTCATGGCGAGGCATGAATACAACTTGCTGAGCCTTTATCAGACTCTTGAATAACAGTACTGCTCAGTATCAAAAAAGAAAGCGAAGGATTTATGCCAAATAATACACTAGCTAGCTGGTTCATGCGTTATTGAGACGAGACAGGAAGCGAGCAGGAGGTACAAGTTGTAGTTTAAAACCTGTGGCTGCTCTAAGTTGCTTTGGGTGTGAACATTTGCTGCCATCTCTGGAATTCCCTAAGCTGGCCTGTCTTCCTCTGCTGGTCTCCTCTGCTACCTCCTGTCCACCAGGGCCACAAGCCCTTCCGGAAGGGCCTAAGCCCACGGCTAATTCTCCCACTACACCACAAATCCCTAGAAACAGTGATTCAGTCCTTCCACCATGGTTTTCCTGCAAGTACTGAATACAAGCAGACATGCAAGAAGATTTCATTTCAGTGACCATTGTTTTTATTCTATTATCTGCTTGACCCACTGTACTAACATTTCACAAATATTTTAAAATTCAGATTTCTGGGCAATATAGTGGCATCATAAATTCAGACTGATACTAATTTTTTAAAACATTTATTTGAAAGGCAGAGCTGTAGGGATACACACACAGAGACAAACGCACAAACACACAGGAAGAAAAGAGAGAGAAGTCTATTCGTTGGTTCTTACCCCCTTAGTAGCCACGGCAGCCAGGCCAAAGCCAGGAATACATCTGGGTCTCCAACGTGGGTGCAAGGACCCAAACACCTGTGCCATCCCCTGCTGCTTTGCAGAGACCACAGGCAGAGCAGCCAGGACTCACATGAGCTCCCGTGTGAAACGCTGGCCTGGCATTGCAGGTGGTAGCTTTATACGCTACGCCACAATGTCCACCGCAGTTTGATGTTATATTAAGTCATCTTCGCATTTTTATTTATGATATAGCTTGTGTGATCCAAGATACAAGCTAATCAAGAGAGAAAGCTTTTGTTGTTTTTATACCATGAAGAAATTCAGCATTCGTTTTCCAGACAATGTATTGATACACATCTTTCTGTTCCTAGGTGTTCTTTGTTCTATGTATAAGGATTATGTGAGACCTCAGTTCTTCAGTGTGTCCAAGAAATAAGGCTCTATGCTGGAAGCAAGAGGCTCCTGCAGACGTCACCATGCAGAAGGAATTTTCTATGTGGGACAAATGATATTGAAGAGGCAAGAAAAGTCTCAGCATTTTTAAGAAGTTGATTTGCAAGTCAACAATTTCAGTCCACTCAGAAATATCTTTTGTAGGTATCTTTCAGATCCTGGGATAATGACTTTCTGATTTAATTTTCTTTTAATCTTCTAGTAAGTGGCAGAAAATAATCTGTGTCACACCAAGTAAATACGAAAACTATATACTGATGACTAAGAATGTCTAAACGCATGGTAAATGTGCCACTTCCCTTCATCCTCTTTAATTTTCATGATATAATTAAGGTTTTACAAAGCCTATTTTAGGATGGATAAAATTACATCAGAGGAAAAGGTTCATGTTACTTAGAAATTTGGCTGGGGCCGGTACAGTGGCAAAGTTGTCTAACCTTCCACATAGAGCAACGGCATCCCATACAGGCACTGGTTCATGTCTCAGCTGCTCCATTTTCACTCCAGCTCCCCACTTATAATCTGGGAACGCAGCAGAGGGGTCCCTGGCACCCACGTAGGAGATTCGAAGAGGCTGCTGGCTCCCAGCTTCAGGCCAGCTCAGAAATGATCATGGCAACTATTCGGGAAATGAACCAGCAGATGCAAGGTCTCTGTCTCTCTCACTCTTTCAAGCAAAACTAAATAAATCTTTTTAAAAATTGGCTATTTTGGGCCCAGCAGCGTGGCCTAGCGGCTAAAGTCCTCTCCTTGAACCTGCCGGGATCCCATATGGTTGTCAGTTCTAATCCTGGCAGCTCCATTTCCCATCTAGCTCCCTGCTTGTGGCCTGGGAAAGCAGTCGAGGACGGCCCAAAGCCTTGGGACCCTGCACCCATGTGGGAGACCTGGAAGAAGTTCCTGGCTTCGGATCAGTATAGCATCGCCCGATGGCTCACTTGGGGAGTGAATCTTCAGGCTGAAGATCTTCCTCTCTGTCTCTCCTCCTCTCTGTGTACCTTTCCATTAAATAAATAAATCTTTTTTTTTAAATTGGCTATTTTGTCACAAATATAAATATTTCGCATTTAACTATCTATGTATTCATTTTTAAAATTGTTCGAAGTAATTCTGGAAATCTGAGGGTAAATTGCTAACAAGCATGTTTTTCTCCAGATGGCAAAGAAAATTTAGCCCAGAAGCGATTGTTCATTTGCTCTAACAATGTAAAAACAAACAAACACAAGGAATTAAAATGTTAATATACTTGTGACTTCAGGCCTCTCTGGATATACACTAGGATCCTAACAGATTAGCCACACTTTTACATTTTTAAAATATTTAGCAAGCAGAGAGACAGGCAGCCATCGCTCTTCCACTGAGGACTGGCCAAACACCCACACTAGCTGGTGCTGAGCCTGGTCGAAGCCAAGAGCCAGGCGCTCCATCCTGCGCTCCTGTGTCTGTGGCAGGAACCCACACACGAGCTAGGCACGCGGATGCAGGACGTGGGCTTCCGTAGCAGTGCCTTGCCCACTGTGCCAAATGCTCACTACCCATCACTTCCCCAAAGTCCTGGCTTGGCATGGGTTTACTGCTAAAGACTCTGAACCTAGGAAGGAAAACCAAACAGAAGAGTTTTCTTTTTACTCAACATAAAATCAAGAACATGGTGTCCACAGTGCCTTCCAGTAACTCGTGACGGGCATTTCCTCTTCCTCGGTGTTTCCTGTAAGGGGAGGGTCACAGTAAGTGGGAAATGAAACCCATTTCTTACGGGAGGAAAAGAAGAGGGATATCAGAAAACATCTGCATTCTAGAAACCAATCCACTGCATTACAGATTATGTGCTATGCTTTATCAAGGACATTTGCTTTTATGAACTTCATTTCAATGTAACTACACTTAATACAAACACACATACTTTATTTTCCCCAAAATAATTACTTTAAAAGTTGCCAATTGAGGACCCTGCACAATGGCCTAGGGGCTAAAGTCTTCGCCTTGCATGCACCAGGATCCCATATGGGCACAGGTTCGTGTCCTGGCAGTCATGCTTGCTTGCAGCTCCCTTCTTGTGGCCTGGGAAAGCAGTTGAGGACGGCCCAAAGCCTTGGGACTCTGCACCCCCAGGGGAGACCCGGAAGAGTTTTCTGGCTCCTGGCTTCAGATTGGCTCAGGTCCAGCGTTTGCAACCACATGGGGAGTGAATCATCAGGTGGAAGATCTTCCTCTCTCTCTCCTTCTCTCTGTATATCTGACTTTCCAATAAAATAAAATAAAGTAATTTTAAAAGGTTGCCATTTGCACCTATTGGGTGACTCTCCACAGCATACATATTTGGTTGACACTCTATTGTTTGAAAAATAGAAAGAATGCTTCATGCCTACAGAGTAAAAAGTATCCCACAGCAGCTGGATCTAGTATGTTCTCTGAAAATCAGAAAAACTATAAACAGCTGGCCTGGACAGCCACTCTGCCTGCTGTGTGCTAGGGATATTTCACACTGGCTACTGGGATTCTTCTCTCTCGATATACACATGCAGTATTATAAATTGACTCAGTGTTTAATTAGAAACTGGGTTTTCTCAAAACCCAGAGTGGTGTATAAATTCTGCATTTTTTTCTTTAGATTTTGAAAGGCAGATTTACAGAGAGAAGAAAGGAGAGAGAGAGAGAGAGATTTTCTCTGGTTCATTCCCCAAATGTCCACAAAGGTTGGAGCTGAGCCAATCCAAAACCAGGAACCAGGAGTTTCTTCCAGGGTTCCCACGTGGGTGCAGGGTCCCAAGGGTTGGAGCCATCCCCTGCTGCTTTCCTAGCCCATAAGCATGGAGCTGAACTAGAAATGGAGTAGCCTGTTCTAGAACTGGTGCTCACAGGTGATGCTGGCTTTGCAGATGGGAGATTAGCTTGTTGGGCACTGTGTCAGACACCAGTTCTGTAATCTCATTCTGAGGGAACTAAAGTAACACATTTGTTTCCTGAAGAAAGCAACAGAAACTACGTATGATTTCTTTTCTGGCAGTGATGGATGAAGATGTACAACTGTGTCTAAATGAGGCTGTAAAATCACATTTGGATCCAAGTTGGAACGTGTGCAGCCTGTTCACCTGACTTGAGCAGTGGGAGGGTCACTGCAGGAAATCCCAACTGGCAGAGTGTGTACAGTACCTGAATAATACGCCAGGCAAAGCTTCAGCAGGCCTCGTGCACTCCCTGGCTCCTGTAACTTCTGATGCTTTCCTGAAAGCACTGTTCTTCCTGGCTATTATCACAGGCTGACACACAGTTATGCGGTAGCGGCTGCTGAGCAACAATTTCACTGCTCAATTTATTATTTACATTCTGGGTTTCCACTGTGGCTGTATCCATCCACAAACTGACCAAAGTGTTGAACCCTTAGGAACTGAGTCTATGGGTTATTATTTTTCTTTTGTAAGAGTTACTTATTTTTACTGGAAAAGTAGACATAGAGAAAGATCTTCCATTCGACGGATCACTCCCCAAATGGCCACAACAACAGTAGCTGAGCCAATCTGAAGGCAGGAGCTTCTTCCAGGTCTCCCACATGGCTGCAGGGTCCCAAGGCTTTGGGCCGTCCTATACTGCTTTCCCAGGCCACAAGCAGGGAGCTGGATGGGAAGCGGAGCAGCTGGCACATGAGCCATTGCTCATATGAGACACTGGTACCTGCATGGCAAGGATTTTGCCACTGAGCCATCACGTCAGGCATCTAGGTTATTCTTAATAATCAGTATATGAATATCTACACAACAGACTTTCTGAAATCTAGGTAGGCAGTGGGTATTTGATGACATGCTTAAGCTGCAGTTCTAGATGCTCACATCATTAGTGCAGTGCCAGATTGACTCCTGGCTTCTGTGTTTCCAATTAGATTCCTGCTAAGGTGGACCCTGGGTGGTAACACACAATGGCTGCAGCACCACGGGGAGATCCTGGAAGGCAACACTTGATGGTTACAGCACCCACGTAGGAGACCCCAGGAGGCAGCATCTACGAGGAGACCTACATGGAGTTCTAGGCTGTTGTCCTCAGTCTGGTCCACCACTGGCTATTAAAGTCCTTGGGGGGAATGAACCAGCATAATGACAATCTGTCTGCTTTTGCAACAAAAGCAAAAATTAAATATAGATTTGTAAACCAGCAATGAGAGGACAATTAGATGTTCTTAATTTAGCAAAAAAGCTTACTCAGGATTCTCTTTGGAACGTCAGCTTCCTCTGGATCTGGTGTGAGTCAGTCAGCTTTGTTACCCAACTTTTCTGAATACAGTTGTGTGCCCTAAGATGAATATCTTTAGTTAAAAGACTAAAGAGGAGCGTCAGAGATCCCTAAAATATGTAACCACCTCACCTCTTTTTTTCTTTTTTACTTTTCTTTCCCTTACATTCTCTGGTAATGAAATTACTGGGAAATGAAATTATGCAGGCAGAGGAAAATCCGGCAAATTGATATAGAGTTGTCTCGGTGTGTAACAAGCTAAAACACTGAAATTCATTTCAAGTCCGTTTCACTGTGGAATGATGGGTTACACTGCCTCTTCGGGAAGCCCACTTCCCATTCAGACAGCTGACCTGAGGTACAAGACCTGACTGTCCTACCTCTGATCCAGCTCCCTCCTAACTAGCAAGCAGAACTGTCACCTCAAGTAACTGAGTCCCTGCTATCCACGTGGGAGACCCAGATGGAGTTCCTGGCTCCGAGCTGGCCCAGCCTTGGTGTTAGATAAGGATCACCATCCACCCACTAGTGGATCAGCAAGTGGCCCAAAGTTGTAACAGAAGCTTTATTGGAAAAACTGCTCCTGGATCCCTTCCACGCAGGGAAAGTGGGAGGAAGCAAAAAGGGCAGATCCAGAAATGTGCTGGGGAGACATCCTGGCATTTAAAGGTTAGTGTGGTAGACCTTGTTTGTTGAACCTTTCACTGAGATGAGGTAGAGGCTTGCAAAGGCTTGAGACAGGAGAGACGGTATCAGGAGGTGTGGCCAAGAAGTCTGACCGCAGTGGGTGTGGGGAGGACTGCCATGTGAGGGCCGGTCCTCCACTGCTGAAGTGACTCCGAATGGAAGGTCTTGAGTAGAACTGAATCTCCTGGTTGAAGAAGGGCATCCAGATCCTCTGGAGAGTTTGGGTCGGGGCATGCAAGGCACCTGCTGGCATGTTCTCTGACGAGTGAACAAGAGTAAGATAAGGCAAGT